GACATCCAAGTGGAAATACCAAGCAGCAGCTGGACATACAAGCCTGAAAATTGAGGAAAAGGTTTGAGTCATCAGCATATATACAGCATTTAGAGCCCTAGTACTCAGAGAGGAACAAGAAGAACTCTGACGGCCCAGGCACTTACAGATTGGCAAGAGAAAGGAAGGACTACAGATTAGGCCTGAACACTGCGGCAGATCCCAGGGAGTGTCCAGATAAAGGGAGAACTGACTAAAGAGACGAGAAGGAGGGGTTGGTAAGGTAGAAAGAAAACCAGGCAGAGGTGTCTCAGAGGCCAAGAGAGGAAAGTGTTAGAAGTTGCTGTCAACTACAGACGGTGCTGAGGGGTTAGGCAAGATGAACAAGTGTCCAGAGGCATTTACAACGTAAGGGTCCTTGGTGTTCTCGAAAAGAACATTTTCAGGGTAGTGGCAGGGATGAAACACAGACTAGTGCAAACTGAAGAGTAAAGGAGATGAGGGAGTGGAGGCAGCTCCATTACATTTTGCTCTGAACAGGAGCAGAAAAATGGGACAGAAGCGAGAGAAGAATGTGGGTTAGAGCAAGATTGCTCGTTTTTATAGACAAGAGATATTAAGAATGTTCCCTGCTGGTGGGAATGACCCAGTAAAAGGGAAACAGACGATTAGAAAGGAGAGGCAGTAACAAACGATGGGGTCCTTGGGAAGGGAAGAAGAGATGCAATCCAGGGCCTAGGCAAAGGATGGCACGCCTCGTGTTTCCACGGGTGAGCTGCTGGGGATTCAAGTATTTACAGTCTTTTCCTGGACAGGAAGAAAGGCGTATTAGCCACGTTAGGCTTCTCATTTACACGAACACAAATCACAGGTGGGAACAAAGCACACATTTCTACAAGACAATAAATACAATAAGTTGGAGAAGAAAAAGGCAAAGGCTCGGGCTATCAGGGAAAGGATCATATAGGAAGTAGAATGAGGTTAGGCATAGTGGCTCACACCTGTAATCCCAGAACTTTGGGAGGCCAAGGCAAGAGGATCACTTGAGGCCAGGAGTTCAAAACCATAGGTTGGAGACCTAGGCAACACAGGGAGACCCCATCTCTACAAAAAAACAAAAAATTAGCTGCGAGTGGTAGCACACCACTATACACCTGTAGTCCCAGCTACTTGGGAGGCTGAGGCAGAAGGATCACTTGAGCCCAGGAGTTCAAGATTACAGTAAGCTATGATCACACCACTGTACTCCAGAGAGACTCTCTCTAAAAAAAAAAAAAAAAAAGAAACAAGATGTAAGCTGAGCCTTGGAGAGGTAAAATCTGGGCAAAGACACAAATAGAAAGGGTAAGTACAATGAAGTTACAGAACAAGTCTGACCATGCTGTGTGTTTGTGAGTGACAATAAGGAACTTGGTGTGGATGCTCCAGTGTCTATAATGAGTACTGGATAGTAGGAACTGAAGGAAGGTGGATGAGGTTTTGCTATGATGCCCAGGCTGGTCTCGAACCCCTAGCCTCAAGTGATCCTCCCACCTCAGCCTCCCAAAGTGGTAAGATTACAGGCGTGAGCCACTGCACCAGCCCTTCTCTTGACCCTAGCTCCATCAACTACCCTCTTTTTCATGCACCTGCAATGTTTCCCTCCCTTCTGCCTCCTTTTTCTCAGCATTTTAATAGTTCAAGTCCCTCCCGAGTGGTTTAAGAAACAAAAGCTTCACAACTTTCTTCAATTACCAATTTTTAATTTTAAAAATTCTAAACTATAAAAATTATGGTCTTTGCAAAAACTCAAATACAGGAAGAAATCAAGATTTCCCACCACACAAAGATAACAATATCAGTGTTAACTGTATTAATATTTTCTCAGAATTTTTTTTTGTAGCCATGAGCTGTCCTGATGTCCACCTGTCCACCACCACCCTCGTCTTAAGTCTTTATTTTCTTATACCTCATGAGTGTAGTCTGCTGGCAGGTTTTTTAGGCAACAATTTATTCCTAACATATATATCAAATCTGTCTTTTTCACTTAACGATAAATTAATATACGGAAAGAAGTGCTTATATTTTCTGTTTTTCACTTTTCCCTCATCCTACTCTCTCCTGAACCAAAAGGAGTCCGGCTTCTGCCCCAACAGCCACTGACACTGCTCTGGCCAAGAACACTAAAGTTCCTAGTTTCCAAGGGTGCTTTCCGGCACCATTACACTTGACCTCTCCACGGCAGTTAATACCACTGATCACTCTTTCCTCCTCACACGGTTTCCTTGTTTTATTCAACACCTACTTCCCTGCTCATGTCTTTGCTGTCTTCTCTCCTCTGCCAATCCCTGATGCGGTGATATCCCCCAGGGCTCTCGGAGGCCTGCTTCTCTTTGCATTCCACACGCTCTCCCAGGGTGATTTCATTTCCGACTATGACTGATGGCTGAGCCCACCACAATCCCGAGCCTTGGGCCTGCATACCTAGCTGCAGAATGGCCATCTCCACTTGCATTCCAGAGGTAAAACGGCACACCAAAAGGTAAACCCATCTTCCTCAATCTCCAAACCTGCCCCCACTTCCTGTGTGCCCCAAGTAACATCACATACTAGCATCTTGGGTGTTAGCCTGGGCTCTGCCCTTTCTCTCATCTCCCCTACCCAGTCAATCATCAAGGCCTAACACCTCTACACCCTAAACCTCCACGTCTACTGCTGGTCTCACGCAGACCACTGCAGAAGCTTCCCGACGGGGCTGCCAGCCCCTGATTTGCACATCATTCTCCCCTCCACACCCCAATCTTTACACGGGAGTCTGGGCAAGTCTTCTAGAACAGAAATCTTATTTCATGCCCCTGCTCATACCCCTTCAATGACTTTCTGAAGCCCTCAGGAAAATGTCAAAACTCCTTAATATGAGTGCAAGATCGTTCACAATCTGGTTTCTTATCTCTGGTCTCAATTTCTCTTCTCTCCTCTCACACTCTGATCAAGCCAGATCGAACTGCTTGTAATTCCTCACGCATGTCAGGCACGAACCTTCTCTTTCATCTCCAGGACTAT